CTCTCATGCTTTAAAAATCTCATCTCATAATGCTCTTCCATATCCCAAGCCAGCTGAGACTGTCCCACTTCACATCCAACAACTAACTAACTACCTGGTGCTTGAACCAAAAGCTGATATCATCGAGTCAACCATTCCTCAAATCTCAATTGCAATCGTGTCTTTTTTTTTATGTTATAGTATTGGTATTGATAAATACTCGGGATTTTATTTCGTTATCTTCTTCTTCTTCTTCTTCTTTTGATATATTTCCTATGTATATCTGTGTACCTACTTATAAGTAATCAATCAAATTAGTTCAATCGAGTCGAGTCAAGTCAGAAGAAACTAAGTTGGTATTTCGTTCGTTCATTCGTTCATTCATTCAGGAAAGTTAATCATGAGATTAATCACAAGTTCTCCATTATTCCTCACGAGAGCTACAGTAGGGATGGCCCAGCCTGATTGGTCGTGGCGCACGGGTTCTATAGTATCAGACTTGACAATTGCAAAGGAAACTGAAGGCCTGCCTAGGTTTTGCCGGTTCAACACATACATACATACATACATGCATGCATGCATGCATGCAGATTTCCACAACGCAAAAATCCCTAATCGTACACCGTCACATTCATTCATCACGCAAGTAAAGATTGGACCTGACTGAAAGTATTATGTCTACGAGGTATCTTTTGTCCATGATCCAACAGCATGAAAAACTTGAACAGCAACCTTCTCTTTTGGATTAAAAAGCATTAATCAGTAGTTGCCCGTGGTTCCATTACTCAAAAACCCATCACCATGGCCATTGATGTGACCGTTTGCCTTCCCGTTTGTAGAAGGAAGATGCTTGCCATTGGCCTTCACCTCCACATGACCGTTGGTGCCATTTAGCTTACCAGCCTTCTTCGCAGCCATTTCAATCACTCTCTCTTCTTCCAACTTTGCATTTTCCGTGTAACCGGTATCAGACGCATCGACAAATGCCTCGAGACCTTCTCCATTTCTTGGATATTCCTTCATCAGCTCCTTGTGACGGCGTAAAGCCTGGTTCATTTCCTCGGCGGAGACATCATTTAAAAAGGTGCAAGATCCAAGAGGATTTGGGACTGCAGCTCTCAATTTACCATCTCGTGTTTTGAGGATGGCAGCAGTGGCCTTTGCAAGAATATCTTCGTCGAACTGATGATGATCCATTGAAAGACCTGCACGGGAGAACAGATTCAAGATCCTGCGGTGCTCTTCATCACTCAACAGCTTCCGTTGATTAGCAAGAGTTGCCGAGTAAGCCATATCAATAGAAATTGCGTGGCCATGTCGGAGTGGTGTATCAGGAACAAGTTCATGGAGAGGAGACCACCTGGTGATGTTAGAATGGGCGGCAGCAAGATGTAAAGCAGTGAACTACTTACGTATGTCCATAGGCGATGACACGATCCAAACCAATCTCGTGGAGATTTGGTGTTTCTAACTTCAGCATTTCGTGAATGCCCTCTCTGTTAATCTTATCTGCAGCGTCGATCAATTCCTGGGAGGAACCGTCGGCTCGACCGAAGGAGTTTTCGATAAGCTGCTCGCAGTACTTGTCAAGTAGATCGAACGTGGGTAGGTGAGAGCACGATGAGATTTTGATAAGTTCGGCGAAACCATTGCGAATCTGCGCAATGGGAAGTGTTCTTAAGAATGTGAAGTCAAGGAAAGTATGAATGGGAGCATGATAGGCGCCTAGTCTGTTCTTGTAGTTGCCATAGTTCACTGCAACTTTGATTGATACTGATGCATCAATTAATCCAATGACAGTTGTTGGAACGCGAATAAAGTTGGTGTTTCGTCTGTATGCTGCGCAGGCAAAGCTGTGAAACAACATGACATTAGACTAAAGATTCACATGACTTGGAAAGATGCTAACGACATGCGACTTACCCGGCAACGTCAGTAACAAGACCTCCTCCCACAACAAGAACTGGCTCCTATAGTAATATTAGAACGGCACTTGGAGAACTTCTCAAAAGTCGGCCAGGGTACAAACTTTGCGATAAATTCCAAATTCGGTCATGGAATCCACAATACTCAAGAAGGTAGGAATGGTTTTAGCCTTTTCTCCAATTTTTGTCTTGTGGAATACCAGGTCGATGTTGTAGTGCTTAAAGTACTTTTCCATCTGCTTTCCATAGACGTTGTAGATATTCAAGTCAGTGACAGCTAAGCATCTCCCCCAATGAGCATAGCAGTCTGCAAGGTTTGGATTTTCGACATTGAAGACACCATCAATAAAGGTGAAATCATATTCAATCTTCTCATAACCTTCAACATGGAAACCGGCATGACCGGAACTTGTTGTGGTCTCTGAGACGGTCGCTTTGAGGTCAGACATGTTGAGAATTTTGAAAGAGGTGTTGCGTAAGAAAACTTGCTGCGGATATTCTTAAACAGATGTCGGGAGGGGGGCTTTTTAAACAACACACAGCAGGGATACGACAGAACCAGCATCACCAAGACTCTACTATTACATTGACTAGTATTGCATCATCATACACACTAAAGCCAAACTATACCTCGTCAGTACCAACATACGCCAATGTCTTCCAAGTGACATATGGATATTGATCAAATTACGCAGTCAAACATACAGAGATACAAAGCGACAATGATCAGTCCATCAAACAAGTCTATGACACTATCACCCTACGCTAGCAAGAAAGGAACCAGCCGTCCCAAGCTTTTAGACTATCATCAAGTCAATTCCGAAACCAGGAACAAGCAAATACAAAGAATTTTAATTGCCGGGCTGCAACGCTCCCCTGTGCCCCAGGCCCCTACGAAAAGAAGTAAGCAAGCGCGAAGAGAATGCAAAGACCAAGTCAAGGAGCACACCCCTGACATGCCAATGCTTTAGCATGAGCGAATTCCATGACCCCACGATCAGCTGGCTCCAGATCTCGGGTAAAGTTTGTCTATGATTCGCCTTACACTATCTGAACAGCTTTGCTAGTGAGAAATCTTGACACCCGCTATAATAGCACAGCATCCGCATCTAGCCGTTCGTACTCTATGAGGCTAAAGGCGTGCTTTTGCCCATCACTCTCATTGGAGATTAATTTGCTACAGCATCTTGTAGACTACTACAAGGTGACATAGATGTAATCTTGTAACTAATAAGCTCCCCCACATCGCCCCTCAAGCTAATTGATGGTTCGAGCCTTGTGCATGGACGTACTTTTGTAAATTAATTGATTTGATATCCTTTCCCACACATGTGGAGATAGATATACCTGGTAGCTTGATCATACTTGTAATACACTAGAATTACGACACGTCAAAATGCCTGCCGAATGCACTGACATCTTTCAAACATGCAAAAATCAAGATCCGAACAACGAGAGAACCGCGGAAAAATCAAGGCCACGAATCTCAGAATTTGGCAGGTAGTGGAACAGAACAGAACACATCTTGCTTTCACTTCAGAACTCCCGGCTATATGCGCCAAAGGTCGGAATCACTCCTTTGTAAATGAAGACATTGCTCTTTGCAAAAGTTTTCACAGGCAACAAAGACAATATGGCTCAATTCGATACGACAAAGTCCTATGTTTCACAGGAAGAAACATTTGTAGGTCTTCCGATTGAATTCGAGTATATTTCATTGCTGATTTGCGATGTAGTTCGATGATGGGCGAGAAGAAGAACTTGTTGAGTTTGTACGAAACCATCCCGATAGATCCAGAATTCAAGGTTCTCCAGCAAAGGTTCTCCAGGCTATTGATGAGTATGCACGAACACAGAAATATCTCATGAATGTCGGAGAAGACAAAGGAGCAATTGTTACCAACATAATCAAAGAAAACAAGCCTCAAATAATGGTCGAACTCGGAGGGTATTGTGGATATTCCACGATCCTTTTCGGGTCTACAGTACGAGCTGCTGGAGGAAAGAAATACTACTCATTAGAGAGAAGTCCGAAATTCGCGAAAGTCATTACTGATCTTGTTGAGTTTGCTGGCCTTGATGGATTCATCGAGGTGATCGTCGGTCCGAGCAACGAGGGGATTCAAAAACTACATTCAAATGGACTAAGATCCATTGATATGTTGTTCCTAGATCATTACAAGCCAGCATACGCGACTGATTTGAAATTGTGCGAAGAGCTGAATTTGATCAAGAAAGGAACCATTCTTGCCGCCGATAACGTTATTAGTCCAGGAAACCCTCCATATTTGGAATATGTTCGAAGCAGTGTCGAACAGAAGAAGGAGAAATTGAAGCAAGAGAGGAAGCTAGACACGGATGGATTTGCGAGGCGATCTGCGACTCAGTATGGGGGCGTGGAAGCCCTGAACACCGCACTCCAAGGCAATCCCAACATCATATACGAGAGTCAATTGATCAATAGTTTTGAGCCTAGCGGAGAACCAGTAAGTTGCCTAATTTCTTGAAGAGACTTTTCTGACCATGCTACCGCAGGATGGAGTAGAGATAACTCGATGTATCGGGGAAGTTGAGGGAAGTCAGTCGTAAATAGAGGTTGATCGGACACTGGATATCTTCGCTTTCTGCTGTTTGTAGAGCATGGGAATGAGTCTCTCAATTCAAAGACCTCTGATACGAGTTCCAGGAGTGTCTAGATCTGCCGCATCCAGCACGATCAATATGATGGATAATGAGTAATGAGATTGCATTGAATGAATGCATTCAATAAAGACTGTGTACTGCTGTGTAATACGAGATATAATAATGTTGATGATGTTGGGGGAAGATGTGAAGATAAAAGATAGCTATAGATAGATAATGAGAAGAACGAGCGAGCGGCCTTCTTTCTACCTCAGCCTTAGCCTCAGCCTCAGCCTCAGCCTTCAAGGCCTACTGCCGATGATAACCCGTCAAATCTTAACCGAGTTGTTAAAGCCACTTGATGTGGTGGGTCAACCTCATTTTTGTCTTTCCCCGGATAAGATCATATCCACGTTGCAAGATGGAGAAAGTACATTATAAACTTCCTTGAAACTCAGAACTTCAACAAAACGCGCCCGCTTGGCACAGTGGTAATGCGTCTCACTCGTATGTGTAAATACGGAAATGAGAAGATCCGCGGTTCGATTCCGCGAGTGGGCAACCTTTTGTCTGGCATTTATTTGTATTTTTCAAAAGCATTTTTGCTTGCTTGCTTGCTTGTTTTGATACTGTATCCTATCTTCAAGGTTTTCTTTCTTTTTCTATTCTTCACTCTGAATTCTAGGTCCGTGCTTTTTTAAACCTACGTCTTGGCATGCCTTGAGCGCAAGGCAGACATAATGCTATTGGCCCAAGGTGTATACAAAGCTTAGATACAAAATAAAGCTATCAAATATACTCAAGTATAAAGAAGTAATACTCGAATACCATCTCTCCACTCCGTGTTGTTCAAGAAAGACTCGATCGGTGTTTGAACAATGGCGTGATGATTGAGGGGTAAGATTAGATATTCGATCTTTAATATAATACAATATAATACTGTATGGTTTCTTTTTGTAAATAGCATTTACCCCGCGCCCAGACCGTTCTAACCAAGATGTACGAGTACGGACGGAAAGCCAAAAAAATAAATAAATACACATGGTGGTGGTGGTGGTTGGTGGTGTAGACGTAATCTTACAAAGTAGAAGGGTTAGCGAGTTGCATGCATGTGGTAAGTAGTATACAGCAGTGCATACTACTTACTACTTACTGTACATACTGAAGTTGCTTGCCTCATAACTCCACTACACCGTACTCTGTACAGTATTTGTGAGGATAATGAACCACACCCTGCACCTACCTACCTACCTACGCACTCAGGACTAAGAAATAAAGTATGTACAGAGTATGTACGTATCTACTACCTTCATGTATCGAGGATGAACTCCGATTGGCGCCAAGTTTACAGCAATCATAAATGGGAGGACACCCCCTCCCCCCATTCGTTTGTGGAGAAGCTTAAGAAAGAATGGAGGATCGATCCACTTCCCAATAGCTAGCCCCACAAATCACAAGCGAAGTTCTGCGAGTGTCCGGTCCGGATGATACGTACCTACCGGTCGATATGAGGTTGCGAGAGAGAGAAAGTTGGAAATCCCGGTGAGGGATCAAGTGGGTGAGCAGGTGTGTAGGTGTGTAGGTATGTCATGTATGTGCAAATTTTCATTCTAGTTCATCCCCCATCTGCACGTTACTGATCATGATATCTATTCGCCACGCTGAACCCGTGCTCACCCTATATGAATGATCCCTCCTATTCAGCTATTTTTTTGGACTCTGCCTCTGCTAAAGTTTCGTTCGTCCTTGTATTAATATCGAGGGTCCCTCCTCTTCGAGCCCATCATCCAAACTACTTTCTGAATCGTCCGTCGTACTGCTCAGACTCATTACCCAACGGCATTGTTCCATTCTTGCTCTCCTCATGAACCCCATCCAACTTCATCACGTACGTATGGGTTAACTTCTTCTTTGTTCCTTCCGCGAGAATATACACGTCGTTCGTCGTCTTCCCGTAACGTGGGGATATCGTGTTCTGTGAGATCCAGGATGCACCACTCTCGTGACTTCCCTCCCACTCTTGCAAGGACTTGCAATGTCCATAGAGCCTATGGTTCGCATGGATACGATATATCTCGGTCTTGTGCTTTGGACCATATGTCTTGAACGTCAGCCCGCCAGTCTGGTGTCATCACGTACGGTAAGTTTGTGCATGCAGTAAATTTGAGGGCGACCCGTCCGCTCCAGATGTCAAGAACAAAATCTTGGCTAATTTTTGAGGATCCTGCCACTGGTGAGTCGTGGCGCACTCCGCTGCATTCATTAACGAGAATGCTCCCTCCCATCTATCCGTAGAAATTGGATATCGTGGTGTTTTAAGGGCATCAGTGGTGTCCAACGCAGCAAACGAATGACAAGCTACGATTGCCTTGTTCTTTTGACTCCCTCAACTCTTGCTTCACATGGCGAAAAAGAACCCATTTGACCTTGGGTTGATTGCCAATTTCCATCGTTTTCCAACCATTCCATGGACTTTCTTCTATTTCTTCTCATCTTTTCATCACCGCGATACTTTGCTACCGCATCTCGAGCCTGTAGCACCAAGTTTGGCACACTCTTTCCTTCTTCCGCCTCCGGCAACTTCTTGTGTCGATGTCGAAAATTCTGGTTATGAATACTTTACACCATGGCCTCCGTTTGAGGCGAAAACATCGTTTCGTCTTTCGTCCATTTCATTCCTGCTTCTGTGTTTTGCTGTCATGGTTCAAGCGACCAATCCTGCTTCCCCACTACAGTCCAGTCCAGAACGTCGCAGATACTCAAAACCTGGATTGGTGTAATTCCCCCTGGGCCTCATTCGGCGAGGCTTGGCTGGTTGTACGTATGTACGTTGGACGGTTGTGAGTTGCGCCTCCCGGGTCTAGATCTAACCATATCTATCTTCTTTCGTCCAATTGAAGGCAGGCCATCGACCGGAAACGACGGGGACGGTTTTCGGGAGTGGTTTTGATATTCGGAATGCGGACGGAGGTGGAGAAGATTGGATGAGGTGGGGGGTTGATGAGAGGAGATTTGGATAGATGATTTCGAATTCAATGCGCGGATGGACATCAGAGATGTGGAAGGCGGACTGGCAGGAAGATCATTGACTTGAGGCAGGATCAAGGGGTGAAACTTATCTATGTTTTTAATATTACGCTTTCGGAATGAGACGGAATATATTTATGCTTAATATTTGAAAATATTACATTGCGGCCGCTTTACTCCGTGCCGATAGATAAGGATCCGTGAATTTGCTAAACTAGCGTGAAAGATGGACGTTGCCTTGAAATGCCATCATTGTTGTCATTGTTGGCCTTCTCCAAGTATATCTCTTCTCGATTGTGGTTGTGGAAGCGCACCACCTCTTCTTTAATCCTTTTCTGTGCTCGTATGTTGTTATGTGACGCAGATTCTACTCACATTCCTAAATCCTTCACTTATCTTATACATCAAATCCTACAGCTCCACCTCATACCTCTGCCTCAGTATCCATATGGCGAACCTCCCCCGATAAAGGTGGGAAGCGCACACAACAATGCCTCTCCCACCACTACTTTTCCATGGTGATGTGGAATTGGGAAAGCGAGATGATGATCATAAGCCAGGTTCGAGAATGTCCGTTGGATTAGCTTGGAAGTATAGACGGCCACATCGATCAATCAAGAAGATTATCATAGGTCTGCTGGTCGGAATTGCTATTTACTACTTTTATAAGAATATGCCGACAGATTTGCAGAATCCGCGACAAAGACCACACTATACACAATATGGAGAAGTTTCTGCGAAAGCTCCATCGTCACTACTCAATACAAATCGTGCCTCGAAAACAGCCGACGATGGATCGACCGAGGTCTCTGTCCATAATTTCAATGGCCCAATCATGTTCTATCAATTGGCCCAAACTCTGCATGCGATGTCTGGAGTTAAAGGTTCTGATCCTCTCAATAATAATGTGGTATGTCCTGAGTTCGAGACCCAGTGTGATGTTTCGCTGCTGATTATTTCTTAGTTCTTTGCAGCTTCAAGTTTGAAAAGTGCTTCGACTTTATTGCCTATCGCTTGTGAGATGGCACTGAGACAAAGAAATTTTGTACATTTTGCGTTTATGGGAAGGGATGATATACCCATGGATATACTGAAGGCTGTTAATGGGGTCAATAAGGATTGCCAGATTTTCTTTCATGGTATGATGTTTTCTTCCAAAATTTGTTGCATGGTTTTAACTCGATTAGATGCACGACCTGATTTTGCTCCACAGAGCTCAGATTTCCGAATGGAAACTAGCTGTTCTGCTGCTCTCAATCATATTAATGCCTTTGCTCATCCACAAGCTGTTATTATTGACGCATCTAAGGATGAGGATCAATTCTTCATCTCAGCTCTTAGGACTAGAGCCGGTTCATTAGGCAGAACATTGATTGAACTTCCCAAAAATGTGGAACAAAATTTAATGTGGATAACACAATTGGATAGTGCTTCATTGAGTGGTAAGTAAATCTAAAAGAAAATGTATCTACTAGAGTATCGTTTGGCTGATAAATACAGCTTGGAACAAAATCAGTATTGATATCATTGTTCATGCGCAACCACAAAAATCTGGATCTCTAATCAGGTTACTTACATCTCTCAAAAAGGCCGATTATTTTTCCAGCAGTGTCCCAAGATTAACGATAGAATTGCCACACGATGTAGATGAAGCTACTAAGCGATTTCTTGCAGAATTCGAGTGGCCACCAAGACGTGGTCAACATCAAAGTAGTCTTCTCACACTTCGTCATCGAATTCCACAACGTGGACTTACCCCAGAGGAGAGTTCGATCAAATTTATGGAGTCATTCTGGCCTACGGATCCTATGTTCTCTCATGTCCTTGTTCTTTCACCGCAAGTTGAGCTCTCGCCACTCTACTTCCACTACCTCAAATTCTCTCTGTTAGAGTATAAATACTCTTGGAATAGAGTGGGCCGAAGAGATATTCTTGGAATAAGTCTTGATTTACCAACTACTTATCTCAATGATTCAACGAAATTCACTCCACCCACACCAAACAGGGAAAGCCCTAGTACATTTCTATGGCAAGCTCCAAATAGCAATGCTGCTCTTTATTTTGGAGATAAATGGGTTGAACTTCATGACTTTGTATCTAGAATGATGTTTGCCCAACACAATTTACCTCCACCAGCTACCTTGGGAAGCAATTACGTCAGCAAAACCTATCCATCATGGTTAGAATATGTCCTTAAATTAGCAAGAGCACGAGGCTACTGGACTCTTTATCCCCACTTTGAGAGTCGGGATTTACTGGCTACAATACATACAGATCTGTATACACCCCCAGAAGAATATGTGGACCAATCAGACGAGGCAACAGATTTCACAGCAAATCCAGCTGATCATTTATCATTAAAAGACAAAGAAGAGCCATTGATAAAATCTTCTTTACAAACCCTTTTGTCTGATTTACCTGATGAACTTGCTGAAATGCAAATGATTGGTTGGGATGGTGAGGAGGGCATTGATCACGAAGAGCGACAATTTCTAGCAAAGGAATATAGACGAGTTTTCCGAAGTGAGATTGGA